GCCTAGGGCTTTAGGGTCCTCGGGCTTTGTTGGGGTTGAAGTCTGTGGAGGTATTTAGGCATTCAAAGAGATAGGGATTTCGAGGGCGTAAGCTGAGAAACTGCAGAATCTTCAGCCCAATTAAACGCCAAGGCGTCCCAGGATCTTCCGCGAAGTCGTCGCAATCCATAATAAACCTAAACCCTAAACCCTAAACCCTAAACCCTAAACCCTAAACCCCCAACCCTCAACCCGAGCTTCAGGGAGTTCATCAACTTCGCAGCTTTTTGGGTGCTTGGGGGGCGATTCTGGGCTCAGACGGATGGGCTCTAGGTGGCAAAGCCCTAGGAATTCGGGTTCAGGGGTTAGGGGTTAGGGGTTAGGGTTTAGGGTTTAGGGTTTAGGGTTTAGGGTTTCAACAGAAGAGAGCACATCCGACATGGAAGCCCTGCCCAAACCCTTACTGGTAGTTCCCGAGGCACCTACACTTGCGGTTGCTTTCATATATAGGAAGAAAACTAGGTACCATTCACCGAACCCCCAAGTCCTAAACCCTAAACCCTAAACCCCAAACCCTAAACCCTAAACCCGAAACCCCAAACCCTAAACCCGAAACCCTAAACCCTAAACCCTGAAAGGCGTGTGCATGCCAAGCCACTTTGGAGACGGAGGCCTAGGCACTACTTGGGGCTTGCAAGAGGTCAGGGGCCTTGGAGACTTTGGAGGGGTTTGTGCAGCTTGCTTGAGGGTTTAGGGTTTAGGGTTTAGGGTTTAGGGTTTAGGGTTTAGGGTTTAGGGTTTAGGGTTTAGGGTTTAGGGTTTAGGGTTTAGGGTTTAGGGTTCAGGGTTCAGGGTTCAGGGTTTAGGGGCTGAAGCCATCCTCAAGGGCCGCATGAACCCTAGAAAGGGCCTAGGGTTCATGTACGCTAGAGGGGCAATAGGGTTTAGGGTCTAGGGTCTAGGGTTTAGGTTTTAAAGGGTCCATGGTCCCAATTTTAGGGTTTAGGGTTTTTGGGTTCCTATACTACCCGAAAAGGATGGTATATGAACCCGAAGCCAAATTTTCGGGTTCACTTGGCCCCCAAGGTAAGGCTGCTGGTCAGGGTTTAGGTGTAGGAAGCTCAGGAACAGTAGTGATCCCGTGCGTAGGAATCTACGGTCTTTGTATGGCTTAGTAAAACCGTACTGCTCAAATGATGGCAAAAACACTGAACCCTAAACCCTAAACCTAAACCCTAAAGAACAGCCCCAAAAAAAATCTCAGAAACGGAAACGCAAATAGGGTTTAGGGTTTTACAGGGTCCATGGTCCCAATTTTAGGGTTTAGGGTTTCGGGTTCCTATACTACCCGAAAAGGATGGCATATGAACCCGGACCCAAATTTTCGGGTTCACTTGGTCCCAAACTAAGGCTGCTGGTCAGGGTTTAGGTGTGGGAAGCTCAGGAACAGTAGTGACCCGTGCTTAGGAATCTACGGTCTGTGTATGGCTTAGCAAAATCGTTCTGTTCAAATGATGGCAAAAACACTGAACCCTAAACCTAAACCATAAAGAACAGCCCCAAATTCAAAAAGGTCTCAGAAACGGAAACGCAAATCTAAATTCCCAAAATGCCTGAAACCTTAGGCCCTCTCAACCTTAAACCCATATCCCGAAGCCACCTAAGTTCTGGGATTAGGGCTACGGGCTTCCAGGCAGATTTCGGCTTGGGATGACGGAGGAAGCCAGACAAACTCACCATCTTGCAGGAACTGATTCTCCCCGAGCTCCACTTGACGGAGGGCGCGGGCGGCTGTATGTAGCCATGAGTCCGGAGATTTGCGTTGCCCCGGAATGAAGAACAAAAGCCCCGGGCATAGAATGCAGATGGATAGTTTTCGCCGGCGTCAAAGTCGACGTCGGGGCCCAGGAAGCCCGCCAGAGCAAGAGGGCGTGCTCGCCACCGTCTGTGGCAGCGAGTCAAGGCCGGGCCGAGTAGAGCTCGAAGCTCGTCTTCTGGGTTTAGGGTTTAGGGTCTAGGATTTAGGGTTTGGGGTTTAGGGACCGTCGCTGCCTGCACAAATGCAGCCAGTACGCGAAGCGAGGCATGGCTTCTGGTAGCAGACTTCCGGAAATTGGGAAGCTTAGAGCTTTGTGGGGCTTAAGGCCTTTTTTGGGCTTCTAGGGACTTTCTTAAAGTTTAGGGCTTGGGTTTTTTGGGGGGTCTTAGACTTCTAGAGGGCTTTAAGGCTTTGTGGGGTTTAAGCCCCCAGCTTGGCTTCTAGGGATGTTTTCAAGCTCTGAGGTTTAGGGTTTAGGGTTTAGGGTTTAGGCCTACTAGAGTCTGTAGGATTTAGGGGCTTAGGGGGGGCTCCTGGGTGGCAGTTTTGGCCAAAGCACCAGCCCATCCACCTGGCTCCGCTGGAGCCAGGCGAGTGAGGTCTTCGTGGTCAGCACGCGCTTGCTGTGGACCTCGGCACACAGTGTAGGGTTTAGGGTTTAGGGTTTAGGGTTTAGGGTTTAGGGTTTAGGGTTTAGGGTTTAGGGTTTAGGGTTTAGGGTTTAGGGTTTAGGGTTTAGGGTTTAGGGTTTAGGGTTCAGCACGCGCTTGCTGTGGACCTCGGCACTGAGGCTTCAGGACCAAAGGAACCCTAAAAGGGTTTGTGGTTCATATACCCAAATAAGGAATAGAGTAAGAGGGGTACCCCTTATATACCCCAAAATACTATATTATCCTTTTTAAAGGGGACCTCGGCACTGAGACTTGATGGGTTAGGGCTGCTGATGTGGCATAGTGCTTGAGGGCCTACAGGGGTTTAGGATCGCCGGGGCTCGAAACGAGACCCAAGACTAACCTAGGAAGAAAACCCTAAACCCTAAACCCTAAACCCCGAAAAGCCGGATCCACGCATCATCACGCAACCCTAAGCCTAACCCTCATTAAACCCTGAACTTGGGATGTTCCCCCTTATACTAACACAGGCCTTCATTGAGACACAAATTGGGGGGGGGGGTTCTAGAGTCCCTATAAGAACTCTAAGAATAAGTTGGGGAGTTGGGGGAACATCCCTAAACCCCCCTAAACCCTAAACCCTAAACCCTAAACCCTGAACATTTTTGTTAGGGTTGGTGGATTGGTGGTTCGAGGTGCCACGAGGAAGCGCGCCGAAGTCCCTTCTGCGAGCTGGCGAATGGCCTGTGGGAGCTATGGGGGAGAAGAAGGGTTTAGGGTTTAGGGTTTAGGGTTTAGGGTTTAGGGTTTAGGGTTTAGGGTTTAGGGTTTAGGGTTTAGCGTTTACGGTTTAGGGTTTAGGGTTTCGGGTTTAGGGTCCAGGTCCAGCAGGTCCTCTAGCTTGTCATGGTATTCTACCTTGGATCCCTAGGTTGCATGTACCCTTGGGTTTGGAGATATTTTCTTAAAAATCCTCTAAGGGAATATAATAAGGGCTATAGTTGGAGTACATGTCAGGGAAGCCTCTTAGGGGTACAGCCTGAGGGGTCCGAGTATGACTCCCCTGAGCTCTATCTTGAGTCCTTCATCGCCTGACCCGAAGGTCTGGGATACGGGTTTATAAGGGTTAAGGGTTTAGGGTTGTGTTTAGGGTTACTTGCAAGGCGCTGCTGCGCTAAACCCCCTAAATCCTGCAGCACCAGGGCCAAAAAACTCTACATTCCTGACACCACACATCCCAAAACTCTGCCCAAGATCTGATTCCCGACTTCAAAGAAGCTCACCTAAACCGTAAGCCCTAAGCCCTAACTAAGCCCTGAGCCCCAGAAGCCCGAAACCCGAAAACCTACACCCTAAACCCGTCCCGATGATTCCCGAAACCATAACCACAGGGAGCCCAAGAAGAGCCTCCCCATCCTTGCGCGCGGCCAGCGCGGCGGCGCGGTCCACGGGCCGGCTGCAGAAGCGCATGGCGCGAACCCGGGGGCGCTTAGAGGCCCTCAAAAAACTGCGGGTGTAGGGCTCAGGGTTAAGGGTTGAGGGTTTAGGCTTCGGGGTCCCTATGAGCCCCGTAGTAAAACCTTAAACCCTATAAACAAGGTAGACCCTGGGGAGCCTATACACCCTGTAAACCTCAAGCAGAATTTGGGTACATTTAGGTGTCTAGAAGTGTGTACACTTGGGAGTTCCAGCGGCAGTTCAAGGGTATATTACCCTTGGGTTGGATTGTGTCCTCACAAGGTGGCTGCTGGAATGCTGGTGGCTCAAGATGCTTGGTTTAGGGTGTAGGGTGTAGGAACCCTAAACCCTAAACCCAAAACCCAAACCCCAAAGGGTTTCTCGGGTGTGGGGTTGGTAGGGCTATCGAGCGTATAGGGCTTAAGGGCTTAGGGACGCACGTGAAACCGAAGATGTCACATAATAACCCACCAAAACAAAAATATTTAGCAACGATTGTTGCAGTTGAAATTTGCCTGCACACGCTTTGGAGCTGGGGGAGCTTCGGTCGTGTTCAGCACAATGTTTTTGGGGAAAAAGTTATGACGATTCATGCGCTCATTGCATTTAGTTGCTTAATTATTTTAGTCTCATAGAACCAAGGCCACGTACTGCGACGCCTCCTGAGATCGAAATGGGGGACTTGTGCTCCAGAGTCTAGGGTGTGTAGGGTTTACAGGGTCTACAGGGTCTGTAGGGTCTATAGGGTTTAGGGGGTGTATAAGGTTTGAAGGGTTTATAGGGTCTGTAGGGTCTATAGGGTAGGGTGTTGGGTTTAGGGTCGGGTTTATAGGGCTTCAGTGATTCCCAAGGTACAAGGTTCCTGCAGCCCTGCACCCTACACCCTTGCTTCAGGTACGAGTTTACTCTAGGTGAGCCCTAAACCCTAAACCTTAAGGACCACATGAGCCCTAAACGTGTATATGGCTCATAGAACCCTGGTAGGAATTATAGTACTAGTAGTATAGGGTCTATGACCATTACACCCTAAACCCTAAACCCTAAACTCTAAACGCTAAACCCTAAACCCTAAACCCTAAACCCTAAACCCAGTATGGCCCCCAAAATGGAATAAGTCGCCAGAGCCAAGGGGCCATCCGCTGTTTCATTCTTGAGGGAGTCCACCAGCTCCTGCTTAGGGTTTAGGGTTTAGGGTTTAGGGTTTAGGGTTTAGGGTTTAGGGTTTAGGGTTTAGGGTTTAGGGTTTAGGGTTTAGGGTTTAGGGTTTAGGGTTTGGGGTTTGGGGTTTGGGGTTTGGGGTTGGGAGTTGAGGGCTTAGGCTAATTTGGGGTTTATAGGGTTTAGGGTTTAGGAGTGAGGGTTTAGGATTGAGGGCTTGGTCGAATTTTGGGTTTAGGGCTTAGGGATGAGGGGCTCGGCGAATTGAGGGTATAGAGTTTGGGGCTTGGGGACTGAAACTCTCAAAACCCCTGAATAAAGGAGACGCGGCGGGAGAGGGGGGGGGAGGGTCGCCTCAAACTTAAGCCCGAAAACCCAGAAAACGTTCAAAGCTTTGAGGGCTTCTTTGGGCGGCAAACCCCTAAACCCTCAAAAGCCCCCCAAAGCCACGAAAAGGCCCTAAAAGCCACTAAAAGCCCCTAAAAGCACGAAACCCCCGAAGCCCTTCCACCGCAACCCCTAAACCCTAAACCCTCAACCCCAAATTCCTAAACCCTACACCCTAACCCCAAATTCCAAAACCCTAAACCCTAAACCCTAAACCCCCTAAACCCTAAACCCCCTCTTGGCGCCACCTCGGTCCGCTTGAACATCTGCAAGTAGCTGTGGTACTGGCCTGTTGGGCGGGGCGGGGGGGGTTTAGGGTTTAGGGCTTAGGGTTTGGGGTTCAGGGTTTTATTATCATGGCTCACTCCGGTATTTGAGCCCCCCCCCCCCCCCCCCCCCCGCAATCATTTAGGGGGGTAGCCCTCCCCCAATGGGAAGGGGGTCTGGAATCATTTCCTGACGGATATGGACCCTCCAACCCCTGCAATAATTGGGGCAATCTGCAATCATTTAGCCCCTTCCCCCCCCCCCCCCCCCCCCCCCCCCCCCCACACAATCTCTTTTAAGGGGGCCCTGATGATTTATTCTAGGCTACTCTTGGGTCTTGTTTCGACCCCGGAGGTCCTACACCTCCATAAGCCCTAAAGCACTATGTCACATCAGCAGCCCTAACCCATCCAGTCTCAGTGCCGAGGTCCCCTTTTAAAGGATTATACTCCACTGTGCATGCTGGCATTGCCTGAGGGCTGCATGCCCAAGCTACATTGCCTAAAGCCCTCAACACTCTGAGTCTTCACAACCCCAAACCCTCAGCTGCAAACCGTAAAGCCCTGAGTCTTCAAACATCTACCCCTTTACCCCTGAACCCTGAACTCTAACCCTAAACCCTGAGCCACAAACCCTTAACCCCCACACATAGACCCTGCAGCCCGAAACCCTAAACCCTAAACCCTAAACCCTAAACCCTAAGCCCGAAGAAACGCAAGTCTGCGCCAAGGCGCAGCTTGACGGCTTCAGATCCAGGCCATCTGCAAGCAAGAGGGCTTGGGTTCAGGATTCAGGGTTTAGGGTTTCGGAATATGGTAGTATATGCTCACATTACTATACTGCTATATCAGTTTGTGCAATGGTTGTTAGATTAAGAACAATTTCTCCGTGAAACTGCCATATCGTTGGATGATGTTGCTATTATGTTATTGTCATATTGTGATGTTTTCATACACCATTATGTATTCATATTGTGATAATGGTATATTGCCCTATTCTTATACTCGTAGTATGATTAGCATATTTCATCAAATAATGTATTGCTCTCTCGTTGTTGTCAATATTCTGATGTACATATACACATGAATATACACGTATTGCTGAACCATTATGCTTTTTTGTGTGTTTACGAAAACAGGGGACCCCAGTATAGATCCCAAAATAGTAGGATCCCTTTTAATCAAGGCCCGAATAAGGTACCCGATCATTTCGGAAACGGCCCATATTGTTCACTTATTGACTAGACCCAAGAGCAACCTAGGAATACAAAGGGTGCCCATGTTTTGGTTTTGAAGGGGCTTGTAAGGGAACCTAAACCCTAAAACAAGGGAATCAGGGCCTACTCTGGGCCCTAAGTTGCCCTAAACCCCCATATGTATATGCACATATGCTGAACGAATATGTTATGTGGCAAATAGCAACCACCATATCCCCAAACCCTAAACCCTAAACCCTAAACCCTGAACCCTAAACCCTAATTTCGGAAGCCCCTCGTTTTGCAAGTAGCAACAGAATGAAGTCCAAGTGGCAGGGCTGGAGCAGAACCATCGAGGTGTCGAAGGACCCCTGCGTGGGATCGATCCTAAACCCTAAACCCCTAAGCCCTAAACCCTAAACCCGAAACCCTAAACCCTTCTGGCTCAGATTTGTGCGTTTGTTTGGGAACCTTGGGGGCCTGTGTTTCATGTGTAGACGCCCGGAGCATGAAGAAAGACAAGCAAAATCAACACTCTCCGCTAAAAACCCCTGAACCTTGGGATGTTCCCTCACATAGCAACAGCCCGCAAAAGGGATTGTAGTACCCCCGAATATAATCCCTATTCAGGACTGTTAGTAGCAGGGGGAACATCCCAACCCTTAACCCTAATCCTTAAACCCTTCGCAAGTGCAGAAAAGCCCAAGCTATTCAACGCACGTCTGCCAGGAATCCACGAATACTCCTCTGCCTGCGCCCCCAGCCCCTCCCCCCGCCAACAAAGAAAGGCAAACTAGAAACAGAAACAACGAAACAACTTGAGCGCTCTACTCCGCACCCAATGCCAAGCCAGTTGAGATTCCAGTGCAGCTGCTTTCGGCTACCCTCAACCCTAAGCCCGAAACAAAAAGTTAACCTCCTAGTAGGTCCAGCTACCCTCAGCCCTAAACCCTAAACCCTAAACCAACAAGGGATCCGCGGGGCCTGGGGTTTTAGAGTTTAGGGGTTAGGGTTAGGATTTCGAGTTTAGGGTTAGGGGTTGGTTTAGGGTTTCGGGCTGAAGTCCTATAGACACCAAGCGCTCCGCCCTATGTGGCCTCAGCCCTGAAGCACACACGGAGGGTTTGGCCCTAAACCCTAACCCCTAAACCCCAAACCCTAAACCCCAAACCCTGAACCCTAAACCCTAAACCCCGCACCCTAAACCCTAAACCCCAAACCCCTAAACCCTAAACCCTAAACCCTAAACCCTAAACCCTAAACCCTAAACATGGACCCCCTGCCGCACACCTTGCCGCTCGCGTCTCTCGTCTCCGTGTTCTCAGTAGGGGGGGCTCAACATCTGAGTAGTTCTTTAAATTAGGGTTTAGGGTTTAGGGTTTAGGGTTTAGGGTTTAGGGTTTAGGGTTTAGGGTTTAGGGTTTGTGGTTTCGGGTTTGGGTTTAAGGTTTAGGGTTAAGGGTTCTTAGTAGTTCTCTAAATTAGTGTCCCTTCCTTGAGGACGAAATGAATAAAAGGGGTGAACAAAAGGGGTGAAATTTGGGTTCGTATACCCTAATAGGGATGAAAGTAGACTAAGGTATGAGGTGGGTAGTTCTCTAAGTTGGGGTCCTTCCTTAATCTTCCTCAAGGCTCGAATGGGCCCTAAAAGGGTATATGGTTCATTCCAAGGTTTTGGGTCTCCCATTTCGCTGCACACTTAAACGCAGGACCCCACCCAATAAGGCACCCGAATTTTAGAGAAGTACACATATCAATGTTGCGTGTTTAGAGGCAAAGATACCCGCAAAAAAAAAACCAGTTGGGGTCGAACAGCTCTTCATTTGGAAAGGATTTCTGCCGCAGGAAGACCTGGGCAGCCCAGTAACCATATTATAATGAGGGTACACCTTTTTGGGGCTGGTTGCTTTATAAGGGAAGCTTGAACCAAAAGAAGGGAAAAAGGGCACTACTGGGCTACCAAGAAACCCTTGTCTACTATTTGCTAAAGACCCAAAAAGAAAAAACAAAAATGACAATCCCTATATTACCCTTAAAAAGGAGAATTTCATATTTATCGGGGTTCTTAATGCAATTAATAGTTATAGGGTTCTTTAAGGGAGGCGGGGGGGGTAGGTACCCAGGGAACCTGAGTTAGGGAAGCTTAGGCCTAGGGAGCATTAGGGTACATACCCCCCTTGATACCCCTTGATACCCCTTGATACCCCGAAACCCCAAGCCCTAAGCCCTAAACCCTAAACCCTAAACCCTGAACCCTAAACCCTAAACCCTAAACCCTAAGCCCTAAGCCCTAAGCCCTAGAGCCTAAACCCCAGACCCTCCCTTAAGAACCCTATAAGTTAAACATCTCCCTGTCGGGAGCATTTCAAGGGGCGCTTCCAGAGATGAGGGGTTCATGTAGCACAGGCGGTGCCAACTCCAGGACTTTCTTCCGCATCGCCTCGAACTCCTGCTAGGCGAGGGCGAGGGAGGAGTCGAAGGCCCAGGCCCATGCGGCGGAGGCGAAGGCGCGACAAACTCTGCCAATATCTCCGCGGGTTTAGGGTTTAGGGTTTAGGGTTTAGGGTTTAGGGTTTAGGGCCCATCCTCACCAGCCATTTGCCTTCTTCGACCTCGGCTGTGGGGGCCATGCGGTCCAAGGCCCAGAGCACCCCCAAAAAAAACCCAGAGCCTAAACCCTAAACCCGGAACCCTAAACCGCCCTAAACCCTAAACCACCCTATTAGGGGGTTTAGGGTTTAGGGCGGTTTAAGGTTTAGGGCGGCCCTAAACCCCAAACCGCCCTAAACCCTACAATCAGAAGCCTCATACTACTGTAAGCCCTTCCAAAGGAGCCTGTGTGTGCTGGTGAAGTCTGCCCATCCCTAGACTCCATATGCTAAACCCTAAACTGCACCCCTCAACCCTAAACCCTAAACCCTGAAAACCAAACCCTAAACCCTAAGCCCTGAACCCTGAACCCTAAACCCTAAACCCTAAACCCTAAACCCTAAACCCTAAACCCTGAACCCTAAACCCTAAACCCTGAACCCTAAACCCTAAACCCTAAACCCCAAACCCTAAACCCTTGAAGGCCACTCATCTGGGGTCCCCAACCAAGGCATCCAGGGACGCGTTCCAGCCCTGGCTCTGGGGAGTTCTTGGGCGGGTTTAGGGTTTAGGGTTTATAGGGTTTATAGGGTTTAGGGTTTAGGGTTTAGGGTCTGGGGTTTGGGGTTTGGGGTTTAAGGTTTGGGGTTTCGGGTTTGGGGTTTGGGGTTAAGGGCTTACGAATTAGGGTTCACGTCTTGGGTTTAGGGTTTAGGGTGCAGGGTTTTGACAAGGGTTGAGGATTGGTTTAGGTCTTTGATAGGACTTTTTAAGAGGTTTCTGGAGGGTTCTTAGGGTTTATGTCGTGCTCTCACAGAAACCATCCAAGACTTAGGGCTTAGGGTCACGATTCCCCGACCCCCTTGCTTTGTGCGACAGGGCTCCCCCCTTGATTGGTGCGACCTGGTCCCTGCACTGCTGAGAGGGTTCTTGAGAGAGGGGGGTTCAAAGGGGGGTGTGTAACCAAAGGTTCCCCTCCCTAGGCTCGCTAAGCTTCCCTTACTAAGGCTCCCTAGGTACCTACCCCCCATGAACTCCCCCCCTTCGAAACCTTTGTAGCCCAGTAACCATATTCTAATAAGGGCACCCTTGTCGGGGTTAGCTACTTTATAAGTGAACCTTGAACCAAAAGAAAGGGGAAAGGCCACCACTGGGCTACCAAGGAAATGTATAGCGCAGGGAGATAAAGTTTTGCACACCCCGGTGTCGGGATCATACGGGTTTCGGGGCTTAGGGTGTGATCCACCCTTTTCAACTTCGAACAATGCCAAAGCCCCCGCCACTAAACCCTGAAACCTAAATCCGCAAACCCGTAAACGCGTAAACCCCTGAACCCCTAAACCCCTACACCCCAAAACCCCTAAACCGCAAAGAATCAGATTGGGGAGGTTTGGGGCGCGGAGGGGGGTCTAACCCTAGACCCTGAACCCAAGACCCCAGACCCCTAACCCCTACTGTAACCCCTAAACCCTAAACCCTAAACCCTAAACCCCTACACCCTAAACCGTAAACCCCTACGCTGTAAAGGAAGTGGGTGCCAGGCCTGCGGTAGCTGCCACGGCCGGTCCACGATGCGATTCCTGAGGCGGGTTGCTAAAGGCTTCAGGGCCTCGGTGGCTTTAAGGCCTCGGAGGTTCGAAAAGGGTCTTTAGGGTTCAGGGTTTAGGGGTTGTAGTTTGTAGGGTTCAGGGTTTGTAGGGTTTAGGGCTCTAGGGAACCCAAAATCGGAGCCAACCAGCCAAGCCCCAACCACACGCCGATACCGAAGCTCGAAGCTTTGGATCCGAAATCCGCAAACCCAACACTAGACTCACCAAACCTCCCCATTCTTGCAGAAGGTCTACTGGCTGCCAATGCTTCCAGGCCCCAGTGTCCTAAACCCTCAACCCTAAACCTTGAAACCCAAAAACCCTAAACCCTAAACCCTAAACCCTAAACCCAAAACCCTAAACCCTAAACCCTAAACCCCACATCCTCTGGGGGCAGGGCCCCGCCACACGCGTCTGCGCGTTGAAGTTGGCGAAGGCGAGCGCCATGGCCTCTGCAGCCTGGGGGAGGTTGCTTCCCTTGAGGACCACATGAATGCTAAAAGGGTTTAGAGGGTTTAGGTTTAGGGTTTAGGGTTTAGGGTTTAGGGTTTAGGGTTTAGGGTTTAGGGTTTAGGGTTTAGGGTTTAGGGTTCATGTACCCTAATGAGGATTGTATGTAGGGTTCATGTACCCTAATAGAGCCTGACTTGCCCTGACACGCGAATAGCGCCGGAAAGCCCCGCACCTTCAGGGTTTAGGGTTTAGGGTTTAGGGTTTAGGCTTTAGGGTGGGGTTCAGGTTTGGGGATCAGAGCTTAATGGGTTTAACCCATGAACCGAAAGGGCAGTGATACCAGACCTGAGTTCAAATCCTAAACACCAATTAAAGCCTAAGCCCAATCAGCCCTAAGCCCCAAACCCTAAGCCCGAAACCCTAAACCCTAAACCCTACACCCTACTTAGGACTTCAAGCTTTAAAAAAGCTGCAAGCCCTAAACTTGGGATGTTCACCCTTATACTAACATTCCTTAAATGGGATTATAATCGGGGGTACTATCATCCCTATTCAGGACTGTTAGTATAAGGGGGAACATCCCAACCCAACACAAAACCCCAAACCCCGAACCCTAAGCTCTACACGAGCTGCAAACCCCAAATCTCTAAACCCTAAGCTCTACACAGGCTGCAAGCCCTAAATCCCTAAACCCTATGAGTTCTGCATAAGCCACGAACCCGAAATCCCTAAACCCCATAAGTTCTACATAAGCAGAGTTCTTCCAGGCCTCCGAGACAGACGGAGCTGCGTGAGAGAGTGGCTGCTTGTAACCCTAAACCCTAAACCCTAAACACCCTAAACCTTGATCCAGCTGACTCTTCTTTCTTCGTGCTACATGTCTTGCCGGCGTGTCGCCAAGTTGTTCGTGTCAGGCGCAAAGATCACTGCGTGCGCAGGTTCCTCTGTAAGCCTTTCTGCAGGCCTACCTATAGGGGCCTGGCTTGGGTGTGAATTATGATAGTATATTAAATTTTTCATTTAATTTTGATAATACTCTTGTTTATATTTGCTATTTTTTCATCTTATAAAGGGACCCTAAGGGAATACGATGTGCTCTTCGTAGCCCTAGACATGCACCTTGCGGTTTCATGGCCTCTCTTCCAGCCCCGAATCAGCTGCGAGGGACGCGCGCAGGCGAGGTAGAGGTAGGCGAAGGGTCCCTAAACCCTAGAGCCTGAACCCTAAACTCTACATTAAACCCAAAACCTAAACCCCTCATCCTCCCTGGAAAACCGAAAAGCTGTAATCTTAACACAGGGTGCACTCTGAGAAACCGAATTTCGGATTATGGGTTGTGCAGGGCATGTTTAACGGAATATGGGCAAAATCGCAGTGCTTGTAGACCTCGTAGGACTTGTGGGTTTACGTGGATTAAGGGTACTGCAGTCCCCGCAAAGTGAAATTTGGGATCCCAAAGCAATGCAGGGAGGTTGTTTGCTTTTTACTTGTATGGCTAGGTCCCTTTGCCGTGAGCTTTATGTTGCACCGCAGGCAGCTTAACCACCTAGCCAACAGCCCTAAACCCTACACCCATAACCCTAGGCCCTAAGTCCTGTAGGAGCATATGGGTTGGGGGGGCCTTAAGTGGAGCTGATACAGGGAAAGCAGGTACCGGGGGAGGGTTCAGGGTTTATGGCATTTAGCACTTTCGTCCTGGACTAAACCGACAGATTTTCACTCGTGGTGCACAATCGGCCGCGGCCTACTCTGCACCCTAGCCGTGCAAACCCGAACCTCACTCGACCCTTCTACCCAGTCCAAACCGATCGAAACTCTAAGCCTAAAGCCTAATCGACTCCTGCCCCAAACCCGGAACCACAAACCCCGAAACGCACAACCCTGAAACCCAACTGCCCTAAACCCTAAACCCTAAACCCTAAACCCTCAACCCTCAACCCTCAACCCTCAACCCTCAACCCTAAACCCTCTACCCTTGCCTGCGCCCCACCACCGGCGTCCATGAGCAGCCGGCCACGGCATCGTGCACGGCCGTCCTCGCAAGAAGGGCCCAGGGCGAAAGTGGGCTCTCGCCGCCTGAAGTTTTACTGGGAGTTGCAGCTTAGGGTTTAGGGTTTAGGATTTAGGGTTCAAGTCGGGCTCAGGGTTCAAGGTATCCTGAAGACCTAGAACTCGGAATTCTGTTTCCCCCCAAAAAAACAAGTCACTGTAGCAGTCCGTTTAGAAGTGGCAACCTAACAGAGTTTTAGGGTTTAGGGTTTAGGGTTTAGGGTAACAAACTTCTGAACGGCTTTTTGAACAACGACCCTAGAAAATCCAGGAAGGCTGCTTAAGGCATGGCTTATGGTGCTGAGTCGCGGTGCGATGTCGACCAGATCGCCCTGGCTTCATGGCCAGGCGAGTTGATATGAGGAGGCTATACCCCAACACCCTGAACCCTAAACTCGAAGACCCCAGGCTTTAGGGTTTAGGGTTTCTAGCCCCAAAGCCCAACAGCAGCGAACTCCAAACACCTGGCTTGCTCTAAACACGAAGCCCTAAAACCCCTAACCTCTGAACCGCAGAAGAAGCAAAACAAAACACTGAACCCTGAACTGCTAAAACCCTACACCCCGAACCCGCACACCGTAAACCCCAAAACTCAAACCCCAAACCCTAAACCCATAAATTTAAACCCTAAACCCTAAACCCTAAACCCTAACCCCTGAACCCCGAACTCTAAACCCCAAACCCTAAACCTTAAACCCGAAACCCTAAACCCCAAATCCGAAACCCCAAACCCTAGACCCCAAATCCTAAACCCCAAACCCTAAACCGTAAACCCTAAACCCCAAACCCTAAACCCTAAACCCTGAACCCCAAACCCTAAACCCTAAACCCCAAACCCTAAACCCTAAAACCCCCTTTAGGCCGGTGGGTGCGGAGCTCGGCGGGGTCCAGAGCGCTCGCCGCGCGGCTGGATCCAGGCCACAGCCTTGTTTGTTTAGGGTTTAGGGTTTAGGGTTTAGGGTTTAGGGTTTAGGGTTTGGGGTTTGGGGTTTGGGGTTTAGGGTTTAGGGTTTGGGGTTTGGGGTTTGGAGTTTGGAGTTTGGGGTTTGGGGTTTGGGGTTTGGGGTTTAGGGTTTAGGGTTTAGGGTTTCGGGTTTGGGGTTTGGGGTTTGGGGTTTGGGGTTTGGGGTTTAGAGTTTACCTGGAGCTTCCGAGGAGGAAAATTTCTGCTTTTTTAAGAAAACAGTGTTTTCGTGTCCGAGAACTAACATTTGTGTTCTCGAGCGTTTTTCGGGATTATTGCAGAAGGAGACATGGGCTCATGTTTGGTGACGGCACTCTTTGCCAAGCGAAAAGCGCTCTTTCCCAGCCAAAGTGCACCCTTTGCCGACCGCTGCTTTGCCACGCTTTGCCCAAACATGGCAAGAGCACTATTTTTTTTATCGAAGAACGATTTTCCTGAGCAGCGACTGAAATTCATGCTTCTCCAAACAACGACCAATATTTTAGTCCCCTGGAGGGTCCAGGTAGGGTTTAGGGTTTACGGTTTAGGGTTTAGGGTTTAGGGTTTGGGGTTTAGGGTTTAGGGTTAGGGTTTAGGGTTTAGGGTTTAGGGTCTAGGGTTTAGGGTTTAGGGTTCAGCAAAGGAGATTAGAGGCTTGGGACTTGACGTGCGGCTTGGTGTGGCCAAGGCTTGCTCAGGCTGATGATCGAATGGCTGTTTTGCAACGGCACTTTGTACCCCTAAACCCTAAACCCTAAACCCTAAACCCTAAACCCTAAACCCTCAACCCTAAACCCTAAACACTGTTGCACAGGTTGCTTCGGCTGTCAGAAGTTATGAATATGAATTCATGCTTCAAGGCTTTCGAGGCAGGGATGTTCCGCCTTATACTAACAGTCCTTCATAGGGATTACAATAGTGGGTCCTACAATCAGTATGAAAACGACTGCTAGTATAAGGGGGAAACATCCTAAGATACATGAAAATTGAACCTTCTAGGATTCCTTTGGGGGGATTTCGAAAATAGGGATTATAGCCCCCCCCCCCCCCCATCGAATAGAATCCCAATTAAGGACTGTTAGGATAACCCTAAGCCCCAAACCCCAAACCCCAAACCCTAAACCCCAAACCCTAAACCCTAAACCCCAAACCCTAAACCCTAAACCCTAAACCCTAAACCCTAATTTTATGCTGTAGATGTATGGGATTCGGGCTACCATGGAAGTCCTGGGCCTGGGTAAGGGGTGGGCCTGAGGGCTTGAAAGATTGGGGATGACAGAGGCATTGCAAGAATGTGAACTACGAGGCTTGGTATTCACATGGATTTAGGGTTTCTGGGGTTTAGGGTTTAGGGTTTAGGGTTTAGGGTTTAGGGTTTACCTTACGTCTTTGGTGTGGTCCAAACGGCTCGGCTCATCGAGGATCGCCAGGGACGGCGAGCCCATCTGCCGGAGGCCGGTTTGGGGTGGTGAGGCCCTAAACCCTAAACCCTAAACCCGAAACCGGCAGCTTTGGGGGAGGCTGGATGGCCGCAGGGGTGTCATTCAAGTGAGGACCACATGAACCCTAAAATTGGGACCATAGACCCTACACTACTGTAGTTCCTGTTAAGGTATATGAACAGACCACCCTTGTGGGGTTTATTTGGTCCTTAAGGTAAGAGGGTTTTGGGGCAGCCCAAGCTCGAAGTAAAAGAAGCGTGCTTTTGTTTCGTGCGGCTCATGTGGGAACCTATGGGTCGCTGGTCGGCGTGTAGGGCTTTTGGGGTTTGTAGGGTTACTATTGGCTGGCGCTTCGGGTATGTAGTACTTAGGGCGTATATTTGTCCGAGGGTTTTGGGCGTAGAGGTTTTTCTGCTAGCGACACCAAAAGGGCCACCTGCTATGTACATGAGATACAAGCGCTATAGATTCTACCTCATCTATGTTGTAGGGTATGCAGTGTTGACAGTGTTTTGAGGTACCTTTCTGTTTTCTGTCGAGTTTGTGGGGTTTCTCTTTGG